TCAGGTTTCTGAAAGCAGTTTGCTAACATTGTCAGATATTACAGAATCTGTTAGCAATCTGCTTTCTAGCATCAAAAATTTATAACAGACTTTGTGTATAATCTATTTTTTCAGATTTGGGATTTAGATTGATCAACGGGATGGATAAAATATGTTACAATTTTTTCAATTTCAATTGGTTTTAAATATGCGTCTAGTTCTTCACACTAGTCTAGTTATATTTAAAGATGCTCCATCAAACGTGATGCTGAACAATGTTTATATTTTTTTATAAAGTGCACATAAAATAGTCTTTAATAATTTTACTTTTTCACGACTATTTAATTTATTAATAAAATAATGTGCAACTTAGAAGTTAAAATTCTGATTAATGGCTAACATAAAAACTAACATAAAAACAAGAATTTCATTAGCAAGAGATAAATTGTCATTAGCAGTATGAGTCGACGTCAACAAAACCATGTGAGTTTTGTTCATCCCAATCAATTTTTTCTTATGCTCATTTCATCTAAAGTTAGAATACTATCTTCCGATTGAATATTATCTTCTTATTTTTATCTTGACCATTTAGAATTATATCTAATATGGTTTTTAATGTTTGGTCAGATATACCAGGGTCACTATGAATATTTCGCATCCATATTCGAAAAGTAGTTTCATGTGAAAGACATTTTAAAAATGTTTTTCTCACAAATGAATATGTCGCAGAAGAATGGAATTTAAGCATGATTGCAAAACATCTCAAACTGTGTGGAAATTTTGTTTTTCATTTATTGAAAAGTTTTAATAATTCTTTTACAGAACAAGACATTACATCCTATAAAACATTCAATTTAACATTTAATATAACATTAAGTTTATATATAATACTATGTATATTTTAAAAGTTTTCAAAGTATTTATTTTCCATATTTTTATCTTAGAATTATATTCATAATATTAGTTCTTATATTATTATAGTGTCTATATTAAACAATATTTATTTATAATATTTGTTATTATATGTAATTAATTAATAATTATTTCTTAAGATTGTTACACAATGTAATCGAATTTCAAAATATAATAGGAATATACTTCGAATTATAAATATATAATTATAAATATATAATATATAGAATTATAAATATATAATTCATTTTTTTTTAACTTACTCTATATATATATATATATATATATATATATACAGGGTGTCCGATCGGTCATATCACCTCTCGTGTGCAGGTAGAGCTAGTAAAACTGAATAAAAAAGTCCTGTATCATTTGTAATTTTTACGATAATTCGAGTTATTAAAAATTACCGTATTAGCCGTATTAGCTCACCGGCAAATGCAAGCGTGCGGTAATGTTGAGATTATCGACCGTTTTGACTGTACTGAGGATAACGAGAGGATTACGTTCATTTATTACTATTATTATGACGGATTTAATTTTAAATTAATAGTTCAGTAACAGGAACTATTAATTTAACTCACGCTAACTCCTGTTTTATTAAGATTATCGGTCTTTAATAGTATCTCGTCGATGCTAAACCCAGAGAACATTATGACGTCTTAAAGACATCTAAAAGACATCTTAAATATTATAAGACGTCTTATTAAATTATAAAAAAAGACATCTTATGATCCGATTTATGACGTCTTTGGGATGTCTTAAAGACGTCTTATTTTTTAATAAATTTTTTAAATATCTTTCAGACGTCTTATTTGGAATTTTTTGAACATTCTATAATGGCATAAAAATTAATTATACGGAAAGTATTGACAAGAGAAAGAATACGATGCAGAATTTGGAATTACTTAATAAATTGGTACATCATTGATATAATAGTTATACAACTTTGATTTATTTATTGTAATCAGAAATCAATTTTGTCATTAGAAATGTTGTGTAGATATTAAATCATTGATATACCGATTTATCAAATAATTCCAGCTTCTTGTATTCTTCCTCTTGTCAATACGTTTTTGAGTAGTTTCATCTTAATTGCGTTCTTGTATATTATATTAATATAAAATGTTGGAGTACTAAATAAACTGATTGCTAATATTTTATAGATTACATTATATCGAATTGATCATGTCATTTATTCCAATTAAAAAAATATGTAGTCGCTTCTCGATAAATGTCACAATCGGTAATGTAAATAACTATGTTTAGAACTGTCATTCAGAACTTTTAAAGGTTATATTGATGACAGATTGAGGTTATGGAACATATGTATTTAGAAAAGATGTTTTTAAGATGTCAGAAAGACGTCTTTCTGATATAATCTTAAAAACGTCTTTAAAAGGATATCTTTAAGTGTCGGTCCACAATAGGTGATTTAAGCTTTAAGAAGTAAGAAATTGACCAATTATAATCGAATATGAAAAGAATATTCGACTATGATTGGTCAATTTCTTACGGCTTAAAGATTAAATACTTATTGTGGACCGACACTAAGATGTCTTTCTCAAGACATCTTTAACACATGTCTTTTTAGACGTATTTATGATTTTTTTTTTATAAAAAAGTCTTAAAGACGTCTCTTATAAGTGTCGATCCACAATAGATGATTTAACCTTTAAGAAGTAAGAAATTGACCAATTATAATCGAATATGATTGGTCAATTTCTTACGTCTTAAAGCTTAAATCACTTATTGTGGACCGACACTAAGATCGTTTAAGCGACCTCTATAATAAGATTTTAAGATGTAAGACTTATTAGACTTATAAGAAATTGGCCAATCACAATCAGTTATTCTTCTATAAATCGATTATGATTGGCCAATTTCTTAAGTCTTACTTCCGAAAATCACATTGTAAACACCGCTTTAGTCTCGAGCCACAATAGGTATTTAATTTTTAAGCCGTAAGAAATGGAATTATAGTCGAAGAATAGAAGAACAATCGACTATGATTGGTTAATTTCTTACGGCTTAAGGATTAAATCACCTATTGCAGACCAGGATTTATGATATTTTTTATTTCCAACTTTTAGTCTGGATTCTCATGCAGCACCAGCACTTTAACAGAAGCTGGTTGGTGAAAAATGAGTAGTGGGAATAAAACGACGAATAAATCTTTACTATTTACTCCCATTATCCGTTTTTCACCAATCAGTGTTCGGTGTTAAAGCGTCAGTATCTGCATAAAGATGCCAGGCTTAAGACTAAGATCAAAGCATAAACCAGACCTAAGTCACTAATGTCCATTTCACCAACATAGATTAACTTTAATCTCAGTTCAACTTACTCTTTATCTTTTTCTAGTTCTAAGAATTAGAAAAAGATGAAGAGCAAATTAAACCGAAATTAAAATAAATTTACGTTGGTGGAATCGGGCATAAAGGCCTCTTTCATCAATCTTCGGTTAAGCTAATCGACAATTAACCATCATGATTGCCAATAACTGAGAAGTAAACTATTTATTATAGATAAGTATTAAAATTTTTATTTAAGCGAATGATTGTTTAATAATTTTTATTTATATTAATTATCGAATATTACGTACAATTTCATCTATCTACCAAAATACCTACAACACGAAAAGAATATTAGATTAAAAAATACTACTTTCCGAGCATTGAATTACAATTGGCACTCCTGCGGGTTAATCGTCGGTTAACATAATCGAAGATTGGTGAAAGAGTTCCTAAATGGAAAGCACTCTGTGCCTGAGTTTCTTATCGAAAAGCTCTCAATAAGTTTGTTCGCGTTGCTCACACTCCCTAGAATTTTTGATACTTAAAGCAGGATAGATATATTCAGCAACGATGGAGAAAAAAAAAAGGAGAAATGTAAGTGAAAAAAAGCACAAACAATGTGAACTGACCTGATGTGTCTTTTTGAAAAGCAGCTAACTTCAAGTACGAAAGCATTGGTCTTGTTTACACCGATCACTTGATACGCGTATTAACTAATAACTTTTTATTAAATTATTTTAATTTTTGGCCATGCATGCAAACATATATATATAAAAATAGGTGTATTTCATTAATTATTTTGACGCATATTGTACCAATATATACATCATAGTTCTTTAAACGTATTGCCGAAATTAAAATAATTTAATAGAAAGTTACCAATTAGTACGCGTATCAAGCGCTCGGTGTAAACTAAGGCATTAATAATGCCTTCATGTAGTAATACCAGCGCCATTTTGAAACATTTTCCTTTTTCAAACGGCAACTATACGTATCTATATTCGATTGCTTTGAACGGCGCGCTTTTTCTTTTTTTCTTTTTATAAATACTAGAACATAACAGGCGTGCGTCACTAAGCTTTTCATATTACATATTTTTATATTATTCGTTGATGACAGCGTCGTGATGAAAAATAGAAATCTCATTCATTCTTGTTCATCTTATCTTTGTCCTTGTTCAAAAAGGTTTCGATTCAAAGTTTCATTCGCTACTAACCTCGCCCGTCTTTTACAAATTGTCATTTGCAAATTGAGACAGTAACTCACGAAATTAGCGCAGCAAAAGAACCAATCAGCATCGCGGAAAAGCGGCAACAATAAACTTCGAGAAATGCGAGTCGACTTAACATCTTCTTCTTTTTATAAAGGATAAAGTGTCACCGTTCAAAGTGTTCAAACGCGAGTTCGCGAGAAAGTCGACACACCGCTTACATCGTCCCGCAATATTCTCATGGGCGAGTATTGCGAGTAATGATTCAAAAGAGAAGATAAAGAAAGAAGAAGAAGAGAAAGAAGAGAGAGAGAGAGAGAGAGAGAGAAATTGCATATAATGTAGCACGCGCGCGCGCGCGCGCGCGCGTGTGTGTGTATGTGCGTCATGTATCAGAGCGAGAGTACGAATGTGATAGGGTGAGACGGACGCAAGGATAGACTGGGCGGGCGTGACAAGCGCAGCACGGCGGTGGTCGCGCGTTTTTCCGTGGTCACGAATTTCGAAATAATCGTCGGCAAAACGGCTGCGGGTAAAAAGTCGGCCAGGAAGATGGCGGATAGCGAGGAACTGGAGGTGAGTGGGTGCGCGTTGTAAGAGCGGCGGGTGTAGCGCGGAACGAACGTCGCACCCGCGTTTCCGTCGTTACGGGAATCCGCGTCGCGACATCCGGCCAGGGGCACGCCGATCGATCTTCCGGAACGAGTCGTCGCGTGCTCGGGGAATCGCCGGAAGGACCGTCCTGTTTCGTCCTGTTTCCGTCGCGTCGCGTCGCATCGCGTCACGTCGCGTCACGTCACGTCACGTCGCGTCGCGTGTTGTCGCAACTTTGGTGCTATGCACGCCCCCGATGCGTGCCGGTCCGCTTTCATTTCGCTGGCGCGTGTCCCTCGTATTATTGTCGCGGTGTCTATTAACGTTCAGAGAGCGCGGGGACCGCTGCGGATTCGTCCCGCACACAGGACCACGGCGGCGCGAACGGGTCATAGGTCGCAGCGTCGAGGACGATTCTGAGTATGCGGGCGATCCGCGACTCCGACGATACACGGCGCACTCGTGTGTGGACGTATCATGGGTAACCTCACATTTGAACTGTCTCTCCTGTTGCCAGCTACCAAACGCATTGTTAACACACCATCGTAGTTGCTCCGCGATGTACACACTTACAGTGCCTTCGCGAATCGGCGGCGAATCGAATGTTGTTTATTTTGAATCTCGCTCGAGTGCCGGTCGAAACGCTGCGACTCTCCAAATGTTTTTTGCCGCGTCGTTTTTTTCCGCGACATCCGCGGTGTGGTTACCTGTCTATAGATATGAAAGAAAATTGAATACGTATTACAGCAAGATAGTCTTTTTGCGATTGGCCCCTTTTAAAGTAAAAAAAAATTCGTAGTCAACATGCTTGCGCTACAACTTTTGTTTAAAGAAGCACCGTATCAATTTTAACTATTAATATTTCTGATATGTATACATATATAATATAGTTTGTTTTTATTCAGAAAGGTTACATTAGTGTAAAGGGAAATGGAATGTTTTGATTACAGAATATGGTATTAAGTTTTCGAGTGTCTGAGCTTCAGATGCTTCTTGGTTTCGCCGGTAGAAATAAGTCCGGCAGAAAGAACGAGTTGCAAGCGCGTGCATTGGAATTATTGCGCTTAAGATCGCATCCAGCTATCCGGCTGAAAATACGTGAATTGTACAAGTCGATACAGTAAGTGAAGAAAAAAAAAATTAAAGTGACAGTGGGAACGCTTCGCAGTAAAATATCTGTAGAAACGCTTCTTCCAAGTTGTACGTGCGTAATTGTGGTTATTCTAATGTTCCGCGATTGGTAATAAGTGAAACAAAGAAAAGACACACACAGTCACCATATTGAAAAAGCACGCTTTGGTAAGATCTATATCTGTTGTCTAAAGTGTGAAAAGAAATATCTTTTCCAGAGCTGATCAAATGGCAGCACATCAAATGTATGGCCAAACTGGAAGTTCCTCCGAGCCACAAATTGACCAAACCATGCATAATAGAAATTATTATTCAACAAGGTATTTGTATTATGTTTTCATTGATTTTGATGTTTGATTTAAATGTTTAAAAGAATGAGAGTATATATGTTTAATAAAAATATACATATTTAAAGACAAGCGATCAGTCAACAGCAGCAACAGCAAGCATCTGTTTCTGCTGGAAAGGAATTGACTCCGGCACATCAAGCATCTTTACCTCAGGCACCTAGGACCAATCCAGTATATCAATCAACTGGTTATTCTAGTGTAGCGCCACAGGTGAGTGTTAAAAAAAATTTATTCTGTAGTTTTTAATATAAAAATAATATTACAAATAAATATTTATTTATTCAAAAGTTGTTTTTTTTTTAAAGAAAGATCAAATATCTTGTGAACTACTTATAAAAATATCTTCATCCTATAAAATATTTAGGGATATTATACATAGTAGAGATTCTATGAAATTTTAACGCCATTATTTATCCAGATAATCCAGATCGTAAACATTTTGCAATGAAAAATCTGCAGTATAGAATTTAACAAATTTTTGAATTGCTTGTATACTCCTATAGACAAATTTTATGGGTGTTTGTATCTTTTTGGAGATAAAAGTTTGGAGGTAAAAGTTTAGTGCATTAAAGTGTATTATATATCAGAAATATTCTTTATTGTTATACATTTTTGCAATTGAATAATATGGATTTTTTTTAAAATGCTTTTTTTTAATATCAAAAAAATATGTAGAAATATCGATTACCATGATTTTAAGCAGCTTTCATGTGACATCAGTGCTTATTCAAATTATAAGCATTTCAAGGATAAAAATACAAACAAATCCTTAGTCAGTGACATAATAAATAACAAAATTTAGTAGTTTTTTTACAATTATGTTTTATTATTTATGAGTTAAAAATATTGTTTTACTTTTTTTTCAGCGTACCCCAAATACAGCATATAATCCATATCAGTATCCAACCAAAGTTTTACCTGGACCATTACAAATACAACCTACAAGTCAATATCCAGTTCATCCAGATGTTAGGCTAAAGAAACTTCCGTTTTTTGATTTATTAGGTGAATTATTGAAACCCTCTAGTTTAATGCCACAGGGATCGATGAGAATGCAAGAAAACACATTCTTATTTCATTTGACACCACAACAGGCGACAGATATTGCCAGTTCACGTGACTGTCGAGCTGGCAGTAAAATGGATTACGTTGTACAGGTATAGTGAAAGCTATACAATAAAATATTTAGGGATATTATACATAATAGAGATTCTATGAAATTTTAACGCCATAATTTAGTCATTATTTATCCAGATAATCCAGATCGTAAACATTTTGCAATGAAAAATCTGCAGTATAGAATTTAACAAATATGAATATCAATCTTAAAAGAATATATAATAAACAAGAATATGTAAAAGATGTAACATTGTTGTCTGTAAATATATATAATTTAATTTATATATAATTAATTTGTAAATGTCATTATACTTAGGTACAAATGCGATTTTGTTTGCAAGAAACGTCGTGCGAACAAGAAGATTATTTCCCTCCAAACATAGCAGTGAAAGTTAACGGAAAATTGTGTCCCTTACCAGTAAGTTAAACCAGTTAAACATCTCCAAAAGTTTCATAGGGTGTCTCATAATTATCGAACGGTCGTATGCGTTGAGAGTAAAGTAGATTGAACTAAGAAAATCCTCTACAATTTTATGATTTCTATAATAGTTAATGAAAAATTAATGGCTAAAGATCATCCAAGAGCGTATGTTTATCTGATCTGCTAACAGATGTAAGTGCACGGCAAAATATGATCCAATTTTTAATTATAAATTTTTCATTATTATAGAAATTACACATACAAGACTTTTCTACTTGGTTTAATCTATTTTCTGCTTGTATGTTTGTAAAGGGTTATGTCAACAATTATAAAACAATACTTTTAAATTCATTGTTGGATGTAAATGATACTTGAACAAAATATTTTTTTATATGTTAACAGTTTCTTTAATAATGAATGTTAAGACATAATATATATTTCTTTAGAATCCTATACCAACCAATAAACCAAGTGTAGAACCAAAGAGACCTCCACGGCCTATTAATATCAGTCCTTTGGTAAAATTGTCGCCTACTGTTGGTAATGAAATTCGTGTCACATGGTCGGCTGATTATGGTAGGCGATATGCAATCGCAGTATACCTCGTTAGAAAGTTATCAAGTGCAGAATTACTCAGTAGATTAAAAAACAGAGGTGTTAAACACTCCGACTACACTAGAGGATTAAGTAAGCAATAATTTCTTAATCGTAAACAGTATTCAAATCACAATAAAAAAGATTTTTATTTATTTTTATTATAAAAAAATTATCAATCAATTTACAGTTAAGGAGAAATTAAACGAAGATGCGGATAGTGAAATAGCTACTACGTCACTAAGAGTATCATTAGCCTGTCCTTTAGGAAAGATGAGGATGTGTACCCCGTGTCGTGCATCGACATGCTCTCATTTGCAGTGTTTTGATGCTTCTTTATTTCTTCAAATGAATGAGCGAAAACCCACTTGGAACTGTCCAGTTTGTGATAAGCCAGCACTCTACGATAATCTTGTAATCGATGGATATTTCCAAGAAGTTCTTAATTCAAATAAATTATTGCCAGATGTAAACGAGATTCAGTTATTACAAGATGGTTCATGGGAAAATTTAGTATTGAAAAAAGAAAAGGATAAAGATAAGGAAAGAAATGAAACAAAGACTGCGGCTGATTCACGAGATAATAAAATTGATGTAGACACAGTGGATTTGGGTAAGAAAAAAATATTTAATGGAATATAAATACTTCAAAAATTCTACAAATATTCTGTAATACTTTGCATTTATTATTCTGAGAGCAAAGGAGTGGATTTGTTAAATTTATTGAAATTTAGAATATTACGATTAAATGAACGATTATATAAAAAATTCGAGATGGAGAAAGGGGAGGGGGAGAGAAGCATAAGTTAATATAAACTACAAATTTTTAATTCAATTAATTTCTTGACATTCTTTAAATTCTATTTATTTTTTGGAAAATTTGTATTTTGATTTTATTTTCTTTACTGATTGAATTATTTTTGTTATGTTATAACATGTTATAGATGATATAACATTCTATTTCCTTGTTCAGATGAAAGCAATTCTACTCCGGCACCAAAAGAGAAGAAACGTGCTGTCGTTATCGATTTAATATCGGATAGTGAAGATGATGACGATGATAACACGCCGACTCAAAGTACAAAGAAACCAGCTAGTGGCATTTCATCGCCAAAAAAATCACAGACCAGCTCTATTAGTAGTACAAGCGAATCACCAGAATTGATGATAATCGATTTAGAATAAAGAATTATTTGATATTAAACATATTATGAAACTTTTGTAGAATTCATTATTTCCTTTGTAAGATATTCTCGATTATCTTTTTTCTTGTTCTAAATTTCAATCAAGATCGTAAATTTATTCAAAATTTGGTATCTTGTACAAGATCGATTTATATTTATTGTTTAATTACTTCTTTGAAGGAGTTAGAATAAACATAGATTTTCATTTATTGTAACTTTAATAACATTGCATTCCCATATATAAATACAATTCTTTACATATTCTGTTCGATCTCACTTGACAAACTAAATGTAGTGCTAAAGTCTGATCAGATTGCGATAAGCGAGTAATTTAATAGAATTTTTATTTTGAAAGTGATTGATCGCATGTAACTTGATGATCATGGTATGCTAATGAAATTGAAAATAAAGTTACCTTTGTTTTTTGTAGCATAATCTTATTAATCTTGACGTAAGATTTTGTATACAAGCCGTCAGATTCGTACTTTATCTTTTATTTCCATTATGTTATTTTATATAAATGCAGCGCATAAAATATGTGTATTTTTCATAATGAAGATAGAAACTTCTGGGTCTCATATCGCAGCTATATCGAATCTGATATGATAGAAATAAAAAAATCAAAATTTTTCTTGCACTATATGTTAAATCTGTTTTTTATATAACATTATTTGCAGTAGTATAGATAGTAAAAAAAATGTTAATTTATTTTTTACTGTGCATTAATAAACGCACAATTACATAATTTTTATAAAATTATTAATAAAAATAAATTATAAATATATAAAAATTTGCTATTTATTAAGAAATCACATCTATTGAGAGAACATTTTGCATTGAAAGAATATTTTTACCAATTAAGTGAACCTGAGCTTTTGAGCTAAGGAAAACACAATATGTTACAAAAAAACATACTGTTGAGTGATTAGAAGCTTTAATAAATAGATCTGTTCTTTGCAGTTAACTTTTCTATATTCTCATTTTTTATTTTTCAACACTTAGATACTTATTTTAAATATAAAAAAATGTAACATAATGTAAGTATAAAAAACAGATCTAATTATCTTAACTGTAATCTCCATTTTTCTATGATCGAAGATACTAAGTGAAAGAAGAATGTTGTTTATGATGTTTAGTATTATACCGAATGATTGCTCCAAAAAGTTTCTGCATACCTTAATTGATATTTTCTTTTTGTGTCAACTGAATGAATACCCTGATGTCATAGATTTGCAGTAATCATATATTTACTCTTAATAAAATTAACTATTTGAGAAAAATTGAAAATTAATTAGTTGAATTATATGAAAAAATATGCATAAATTTTTTGAGAGAGATAGAGAGGGGGGAGGATGTCGAACATGTTTTAACGGAATGCGGAGTGCGAATTTTACCATGTCACTTTATATGTGCCATGATAACTAATCCTCAAAAGTCCCATTCGGTGGTAACATATAATTGCGATATGATATAGCAGAAAGTCGTTGGTCCACAGGTTCCCGCGTATCGTATAGACTAGGTGCTTGACCTATTATTCCCAGTGTGCCCCCAATACACGCGATAGTGAATATCCAAAGAAAGAATCTGTCCAAAACCATAGCTACGAATTTCCAATCTTCTATAACCTAGTAAGAACAGAGAGAAATGTTTTTAATATGAAATATTGTTAAGACTAATTTAGATTTGATATATTATTATTAAATTACCATTGATTTGATATATTATTATATAATTTAGATTTGATATTTATTATTATTAAATTTAGAAAAAAGATATTAAAGAAGATGTAAAAAACAATATTGATGAAAATGATGTGAATCTTTTAAATTGTTTACCTCGTTGTCTTTGTCTGCGTCTTTTATGTGTTGAGCAATGAAACGCACGCCTTTAAGAGCTGATATGACATCTGGAGATAAATGTTTTGGCATTGTATTCTCGCTGTCTGTAACTGAAATAATACTTAATTAAAGTAATACATTGTTTTGTATCAATTTTACTTTGTTTTCTTTTCACGTTTTCAAGAATATACTCAACATATATGACGTCCAAAATTATTATATCTTTATTGATGTAGACTGTTATATATTAATATCTTCATTGTATATTGATATATTCTTATTATTATGAGTATATTGCAGTGATGTATGTACATAATAAACATTTGGACAAATTTTTATAAACAAGATTTCTTTTACTCCGTAAACACTTGTCTATTTACTATCAGCGCAAACATTGTGAAAAGACACGTTTCAGAATTAAGCAATAGAAAATTATTTTTTGACACAAATAATGAAGATATTACCTGATGCGTGCGGTACGTGTCGTGCATCATCATCTCTAATGCTTTTGTATGTCGACGTAACACTTTCAAATGCATCTGGACTTCCTTTCAGTTCTAAAGGATAGTCACTTACACTGTCATAAAAATTGAAAAAAATAGAAATGATTTATACGTTTATATAAATAAAGTACTGTCACATAGTAGGGCATTTTATTATTAAATGTATATATATACATGCATAAAACAATAAGAAAAATTCGTTAACTTTAATATTAATAAAATCCCGTTCTATATATATGTGTGTGTGTGTGTGTGTGTGTGTGTGTGTGTGTGTGTGTGTGTGTGTGTGTGTGTGTGTGTGTGTGTGTGTGTGTGTGTGTGTGTGTGTGTGTGTGTGTGTGTGTGTGTGTGTGTGTGTGTGTGTGTGTGAGATATACATGTAAAATATTTCTTAATTATAGTTCATTTAAAAATATTTTTTTCAGTTAAAAGACTAAAATATTTTTAGAAAATAAAACGGTATTTTACCTATAATCGATTTCATTAGTGTATCCGCTATCCATATAAGCATCATCATATTCTGGTGTAGAATACGGCGTGCGACGCATCATCAATGCTCTCGGCATCCAATTTAGAAATACTTGTCTCACCCAAGGTGACATATTATGTGTGGAAGGAGATCTACAACATACAATATTATTTTATTTACTTATTATGAGGCTATAATTATATTACAATGAATATATTCTAATTAATTTGTGCAATTATTATTTCTTTGATCTGAATCTGAGGAGAACATTGAGTTATTAATAATTTACTATGTCTAAATATTTGAAGTAGAAAGTTTAATTTTAATTAGAGAGATAAAAGAAAAATCGTACATTTCAATAAAATTTGATCTGTAATAAAATTTTCATCTCAAAATGAATTATTGCTTCTTAACAAATTAAATTCACCTAATAATTTAATTTTTTAGTCTCACAAATGAATTTTGTCCATTTAAAATATTTGCGAGATGTTCACTCTTGAGCTACGTTATGTATGATAGAAAGTAAAATAAAAATTAATTAATCTTTTTACAATACGTAAAATGCATTATAACCTACCGAAAGTGTACGTTCAAGACGCAGACAGTAATCCAAATAGATAGAGTGACTAAAATCATAGTGAACAATAGATATTTTCCGAGCAACGGTATAGCTAACGATGTTGGCGGAATGATCTCGGCTAAGAGCAGGAAGAACACCGTCAATGAAAGGAGAATGGAAGAGCATAATGATACCTGCATGAAAAATGTGAAGCAATAATATATTTGCTATAAAACCACAATTAAATCTTTTTCAATGCTCAATCAAAATTAATAAGGTGGTGCTTTTACATTTGTTATATCGATCGAAGTGCATTAAATTTTGCTATTAAAAGGATTTTCTAAAACAAAATATATGTATATGCACAAACTTAAACGACCTGTACTTACTTTCTCACCGGAATCGCTGGGCAGATAAAAAACAAGCACTGTTAAAAACGTGATGCCAACGCAGGGTATAATAAGATTGACGGTATAAAATAGAGTTTTTCTTCTCATCGTAATATTGAATGTAATATCTGTAATTAAATGATAATTATCGCCTGACGAAATTAGCTGTAAGACAAAATATCTACTTGAAATATCTCCCCTACAAATCTCTCCTAGAATGAATATAATTTTATCTCTTTACTCTGCGTAAACTTCAAAATTTTGTTAAATCTTACCTGAATAAGGTTCTTCGCAGCATGGATAATATTCTTCGTTGCGTGCTGCTGGTACTTCCAGAATATCCCACTCCACTGATAGATAAAAATCGGTGAGATCTATGCCGATCGCAACAAGATTACTACCAGGTTCCTGCTTCATGTGCTTCAAATCTACCTGTAGGCAAAAGACTTTACAAAGCACGTTTTCGAAAGACGTCAGACCAAAGCTACATAATCTAAAAGTACAAAAAAACCATACTAAACGTTTGAGACTTTGATCAACAAAAATAAATATTCTACATTATATAAAAAAGAATCGAAAGTAATGGATACGAATAAAACAGCAGACTATTTATAAACAGAAATAAATTATAAGATGTAAATAATTAGAAATAAATTGTCCTAAAAAAACGAATTTACATAAAATGTGTCTTTTTTTAATTTTTGACTAATTTGAAGTTATTTATATTTATCCAATATTCTAATTCTCATTTTGTATGTAATTACTGTAATATAAATTTTATTATTTTTATCTTTAATTAAGTTTGAAGGCTATTTTATTGGCATTTTAATCATCTTTCTGATAAGCTAAAATTTACTTGACTTTAGTTGAAGATGATTTTGTTATCTATCTTACTTGATGAAGTTTACTTCGTGAAAATATGATTTTTATCACACAATTAATTCTTTGATTCATTACAAGAAAATTAATTTTAGACTGATAAAAAAATTTTTAATTAAAAAGATTTAGTATTCTGAAATATTTTACATTACTTGTGTACATGTAAATATACATGTAAATATACATTGTTATAACCTGAGCGCCGTTGTAAGTCCACGAGCCGAATTTCATAATACATGATTGCTCATCGAACGGGAAATATTCCACATTGATTTCACAGGATGACTTATAAATGGCCGGCGGTTTCCAAGATACCTCGCCAGTATATTTTAAAGTGGCCTTCGTCATTAATGTTACTTCGTAATTTCCATCCGCGCTGTTTAGCAAAACGAGAAGAATATTAATTAAAAAAATTTCTTTTTATAACGCCTCATTTTTCATTATTATATTAAATGTATATCTATTTTCTTCGAATTTCCATTGAATTTCGACGATTGCGAATTCATTTTTTTTTTAATATGGAAACTTTGTGATACAGAAAAACACAATCGTTTTTCTGCAATTTACAAAGCCTTTTGCAATTTACTTGTTGTATAGAACAATGTCCGGAAGCCATATGTTCTCGGAAGGCACATATAACATATCTACACCACCATACTCCTGTGGATCCCACTGTAATTTATAGTCAAACCATTTCTGCAAGGAACAAACGGATATCAGTTTGCTGATTGCCTGACTACAATGTTCAATTACTACTACGAGAGTGAAACAAGCTAACACAAAACCGACCTGTTCTACCCAGACGTTGGTTGTCATCACTTGATTCTTTAGATTCTGCAAAATCAAATATTAATTATTAATTTCTACACCAATTTTTTAAATAAATGTGTAAATCAAATAAAATGAATAAAATTATGACAAAATTATAATGCTAAGTTTCGAACACTGAAATAGCATCAATTTGTATACCATTTCTATTAACTGCGATAATTTTAATCCCAGCCAAACTGTTAGAGTCTCTGTATTATTAATAACAGGACGTATCAATCTATTATAATTGGACAGTAAATCGTCGTAGAGTCTCTTTGTATCGGGATTTGCTTCGAAAACTTTGCTCCCTGTGCAAAAAAATATTTATATTGAAGTATATTTCAACAAACTGTTTTAAGATCCGTTGAAGAATTTTATTGGAAAAATATAGACTATATGCATATTTTTTTCTTTAAATATTATTTGGAACAAGTTTTATTATTTAAAAATTTTTTTATTGCATTTTATATAATAGAAAAAATAATAAAAGCATGTGTAATGTAAAAGCATGTAGCAATAGGAAAAATAATTAAAAATAAGTAACAATGATATATTTATGTTGTAGAATTAATAGGTTATTGAATATTTTTTGTATTTTCAAGAAATAAAAAATTTTAAAATAATGTCTTTTTAAATGATTTGTTTAATTAAAAATGTGTTTATTTTAGAAAATATTCCTTCTTTTAATAATTGGATATATTTAAAATAATCTGACAGAACATTTTATTTCTCTTTTTTAATCACAAAACTTTCTCCGTTTTATTAATGTAGAGATATATATAAAAATAACATTTTTTTTTTTTTTATTACGAGCCATATTAAGGTCACCTTAATAATCACTGTCGCAATTAATGGGATAAATATAGGTGATTGCTTTTGATATAAGATAAGATTATTCGTTTTCTTGACTGTTTTATTCTGATAACAGACGAATAAACTTACCGTAAGCGATACCGAAGACATTGAGCAAAACTGTTAGCACCGACGTCCGCATTTTTTTCGGCAGTGTTTACAAATGCGTGCAAAGATAGAACACTCGCGAGCACTCCCTGCGGTAGGCTCTCACCCTTTGGTACATGTACCTTGGCAGTAAATTTACAAGTAAGAGGTGTAAAAAAAGCCAAGAAGGCAAGATAACAGAAACACTTAGCGTGCCGAATGGTGGCGCACGATCGGCGAAACGTCAGGCGGCCAGCATCCCACTGGTCCACGATCGATATTCCAACTCGTCGCCATGACGCTCGCGCCGTTCGTTTAGGGCGCGACTTGTTCTACTGGCATGCAGGGGTAGTTCGCGCCTGTCTGCATCTGCGCGCTTCGTACGAAGACGAAAACGTGGAAATTGAGGAGATTGCGATTCTGAAATGTATTCAAGCCGTTGAGAGACAGAGTGAGAGAGAGAGAGAGAGAGAGAGAGAGAGAGAGAGAGAGTATTTGT